CAGAGTCCCCCACTGGGGGGAGATGGGCGGGGACAAGTTTGATAAATAAACAAATAAATAAACAAACAAACTTTCCTATCCTAAAGAAGGACCAGCTTAAAAAACTTCATGCCAAAGTATTAAGTGTATGTTTGTGTGTGTGTGTGTGTGTATAAATATAGTGAAAAACCTGTTAGATCAGACCAAAAAGCACATAAGGTACCCTAACCCTGTACCGTAAAGTGACGAAACAGAAGCTAGGAGTACCTTTTTTCCTTTGTTTTGCTTCCAGAGATAGCAAAATCATAATGTTAAGAATATTTTGTCAACTGAGGGATGCAGGGCATGGGGTGGAAAGGTTTTGATTTCCCTGGAGAAGTGGAGGGGAGACTGTTTGGCCATTTCATTTATTCCTGTGGGCATGGAAGATTAAGTTTTAAATTTGTATTGAGCCTATTGGAGGCTTAATAGACTTGCTTTATTTCGTGTTCTGCAAAAATCAGTGGAAGCCATGTCATTGGTGGCTTGCTACGAAATTTCAGCAGCACAATGTTGGAGAACTATAAAAACTTGTTTAGGAGGCTACCTGCAACATATAAGCCTCAGAGTACTTTCCACCAACCTATGAGAATATATTTATGCTTGAATTTGCAAAGTTAAGGAAATAAGAATATTTCCCAGCACTTATATTGACCTGGGGCAGTGCAGGGCAGAATTCTCATTAGGTACCTGGGTGTCAATATTCTGCAAACCAAACTGCTCACAAATGGAGAAGAGCTTCTTTCTGTTCAAGTGACCATCTCGGGAGATTCCAAGATTCTTGCAAATCTCATGCAACTTCTCTTCTATCCAGTCCTGAGAGGGGAAGATGTTTGGGGATGCATTCAAGTCATCAGGATTCCAGAACCTCAACTGGCCTAAAAAGAAAGCAATGAAGCTTGATTTGGGAGAGAAAAACCCCAACATTTAGAAAGGCACACAGAGGAAAAACCACAAATAAAGCTGGTGAATCTTTTGAGAACTCTAAACTCTTGTCAATTTTCTCCTTGATGAAAGTCTAGCTATACTAATATAAAACTGATTGCTTTTCCTTACTGCTTATTTGATTTCAAATAATTTACACCATCCTATATTGTTTATTATAGAGAGTCAATACCATACTGTCTAATAAGTTCCTTGAGCAATTAAAATCAATTAAGAGCTTAGTTAAAAGAAAACCTTTTTGGTGTAGGTTAAATGAGAACCATAAGGCTCATCTGCATGTCCTTCTAACTGTGGCATGAACAGGATAAAACAGCTGCTTTATATGGTGTTTCTTCATCATCATGTTGTCTTAATCTCAATTCTAGTTCAAGCTGAGATAGTTTAAAATTGTCTTCCAATGTTCCAGTTTTAAAGTAATGTTTTTCCTTGTCCATTACTGCTTGTTGTGGACATAACCTAGAACGTTGTATCAACAATGCAGTTGATTATCTGCTCAAGGACTAGGATCTGCTTAGCTCCTATGGGCCACTTTAGACTGCTCCAAATCTTCCAGTAACATACAGACGAGAATTATGCACCTCTTCTAGTCTGGCTTCTGCTCACTGTGGATAATCTGGAGACAGACTGTATCTTAACATGTTGTTCCAAAGCACTTGACAATGTTTGAACCAAGAAAATTACTTTATTGTTGCATCAGTACTTTTGTTGTTGTTCAGTCGTTAAGTCGTGTCCGACTCTTCGTGACCCCATGAACCATA